AATGGACATAAGGCTAACTGCTCTGCAATTCCCCATGTCCCTTCTACTACCCTGTTTGGAAATTGGGACCACTGACACCACCCTCCAGTCCTCTGGAACTTCCCCTGTTCTCCACGAGGCCTCAAACATGGAGGCCGGCGGGCGTGAGAGAACCCCTGCCAACTCTTGAATACTCTCGGGTGTAACCCATCAGGGCCTGGCGCCTTCGTAATGTCCAATGCCCTGAGGAGCCCCTCGACTTCAAGGGGGGTGACTCTAATATGTGCCCCTAAGTCCCCAGCCCCATCTAATCTCCTATGCGGATCTCCCCCATCCTGCTTTGGGGAGAACACAGAGGCAAAATACTCATTTAGCATCTGTGCCTGTTCCCTCATATCAGTCACTGGATCTCCTTCCTCCTTATTTAGTGGTCCCACTACTTGTCTGCCTTTCCTCTTCCTATTTACATACCAGAAGAAGCCCTTTTTGTTGCTTTTGATGTTCTTGGCAAGTCTCAGCTCGTAAGTGCCCTTAGCCTTGCAAAGAATCCTCCTGCAATGGGCCTCCTCCTCCCGGTATACCCTTTTGTCTATGTGCCCCAGTACCCATTTCCTACGGAGGTTCCTCTTGCGTCTAATCCCTCTAACCGCCTCCTTTCGCATCCATGGCAGCGCTCTCCTCCGCCTCCCCACCCAACTGACTAGAGGTATCGTCAAGGCTTGCGCCTCCAAAACCTCCCTTTTGAGTGCCATCCTCCATCAACTTCCTTGCCTTCCAGTAACCTGTCCCAGGAGACTTTCCCCAGTCTGGCCTTCAGTGGCCAAAGTTGGCCCTCTTGAAGTCCCAGCTTCTAGCGCTTGACCTGCTGCACATCCCCAGTCCCCTGATCTCAAAGCACAGGATCACTCGCATCCAGAGCAATCCTAATCTTCACTCCATCTATCAGCCAGACTGCCTCTGCCAAATCCCCATCTGTGCTGCATCCTATCTCACTGCATCCTATCCCTTCCCTGACGTATGAAGTCACGTCCCCACCTCTCTTTCCCTTCCTGTCCTTTCTAAAAAGGTGATACCCCTCTATGTTCTCATTCCAGTCTTGCCTTTCATCCCACCAGGTTTCCGTGATCCCTAGCAGGTCAGACGCTCCCATTCCCAGGAGAGCTTCCAGCAATTCCTGCTTGTTACCCATGCTCCTAGCATCGGTGTACATGCGCCTCAACTCCTTCCCTCCGCTTCCTTTCCTTGGAGTCCCCAGCCTCCTCCTGCCTCCCATCCCCCCGATACCTGGCCCCTCTCTGTAGGAGTCCTGTCAGTCCCTGCAGTACCTCTAAAACCTGCTCCCAGAGCCCTGATCCTCCCCGCACACTTGTCCAGTGCAGACACATTCCTGGGGGGCCTGAACCCACCCCACCGCAGCTCAGTTTAAAGTCTTCCGGACGAAGCTCGCTGGAGCAGCTCCAAAGGGCCTTTCCCCCATCCTCGTGAGGTGCAACCCGTCCCTTGCCAGAAGTCCATTGGCAAGAAACTGGGTGCCGTGGTCGAGGAACCCAAAGCGTTCCTTCTGGCACCGCACCCAAGGGCGCAGACAAGGCACGACGCCTTATAAGCCTCTCAGGCCACTGGCTCCGCCCCTCTGCATCCTCGTGGGCTCTCTGGCCTCTCTGGCCCCGCCCCCTTCCTCTCCACTGCTCCTGCCCCCCCCCCGCCCTTCTGCCCAGCTCCTGCCTTGCCTTCGCCAGTTCCTTGGCCACCCTCTGCAAAGTAAGAAGCTGTTACGTCTTGAGCATCTGCAGCTTGAGAGCAACTGAGCAATAGGCAGTAGGATGGACCACGCAGAGGAGCTTTCTAGCTTTTAGAGGCATCCATTCATTGGACTTGTGTCCTGCCCTTCACCAGGGCAGCAAGATAAGTAGAAAATCCCCCACCTACCTCACAGGGTTATTGTTTTGGTGATAAGATGGGGAGCAGGAGGAGGTGAATGATCTAAACTGCTTTGAGTTCTTCAAAAAAAAGAAAAAGGTGAAATATAAATCAAATAAATAAATAAACGAGCTTTATTTTATTTATTTATTTAAAACTTTTCTAGACCGGCCCATTACCGAAATTTCAGCACAGTTTAACAATACAAAATATAAAAAATTTAAAACACAGTGTCCTAAAAATTCAACTACTAATAAAACCCCAATTAAAACAGCCAGGTCTTAAAACACTAGGAGCGTAAAAAGGTTTTGGCCTGACGCTGAAAAGAATCAAGTGACAGTGCGAGGCAAACCTCTCTGGGGAGCGCATTCCACAATCGGGGTGCCACAACGGAGAAGGCCCTTCCCAGGCAGCCACCCTCCTAATCTCCTTCAGGGAGGGCACCCAGAGAAGGGTGTCTGCTCCACCTCTTAAGGGGCGGGCAGGCATGTATGGAAGGAGACGCTCCTTCAGGTAAGCAGGCCCTGAGCCACTGAGGGCTTTCTAGGTCATCACCAGCACCTTAAATTGGGCCCGGACTTTAACTGGCAGCCACTGTAGATGGTAGAGGACAGGCGTTAAATGTTCCTATCTGCCGGTCCCCGCCAGCAGCCTGGCAGCTGTTCTCTGATCCAGTTGCAGTATCCGGACCGTCTTCAAGGGCAGCCCCACGTACAGCGCATTGCAGTAGTCCAAGCGGGAAGTTGCCAGGGCATGGGTCACCGCTGCCAGGCACTGCCCATCCAGATGGGGGCGCAGTTGACAGATCAGGCGAAGCGGAAGGAAAGTGCTCCTCGCACCACCACCACCTGGGATTCCAGGGACAGCTCTGGGTTGAGGGGCACTCCCAAACTTTCCCTCTCAATCTTATTTAACAAAATAAGATTTTGGAGAGCCAGTGTGGCGCAGTGGTTAAGAGCTGGGACTGGGCCTCAGGTGATCTGGGTTCTAGTCCCCGCTCAGCCATGGAGCCAACTGGGTGACTTAGGGCCAGGCACAGACTCTCAGCCCAACCTACCTCACAGGGTTGTTGTTGTGGGGAGAAGATGGAGGAGGAGAACGATGTAAGCTGCCTTGAGCCCTTGGTAGGAAAAAGGCAGGATATAAATCCCAAAATAAATAAATAAAATAAAAGCAAACCAGTATCTGTTCTCTTCCCTGGGTTTCTTGTATTCTCTCTCTCTCTCTTTCATCATATCACATCGCCTCTATTGCCTGCCTTTTCCCTCTTGGGACTTTTGTAGCTCCATTTTTATTGTCACAACGACAAGCTTCCATATAGCCTGGGGTGCTTGATCCTGCCTAGTTTTGGCTGCTGAGCAGGGTCAGGACAGGTTAGTCTCTGGATGGGTGTCTTATTTATTTATTATTTATTAAAACATTTTTATGCCGCCCCATTCACCGAAGCCTCGGGGCGGCTTACAACAAATAAGTTAAATCATCATAACATTTTAAAATATATACATTAAAATAAATTACAAATATACAATATAAAATAAGCCGCCCTGGCCAGAGAATTCAATAATATTAGCATTTAAAATGCTGCTTGAATAAAAAGGTCTTCGCCTGGCGCCAAAAAACAAATAACGACGGCGCCAGGCGGACCTCTCTGGGGAGTGCATTCCATAGATTGGGCGCCACCGCTGAGAAAGCCCTCCTCCGAGTACCCACCCTCCTAATTTCTTTCACGGAGGGTTCCCGGAGAAGGGCCTCTCCCGCAGATCTCAGGGGGCGGCTGGGCATATATGGATGTAAGCGCTCGTTCAGGTAGCCAGGACCCAAGCCGTTTAGGGCTTTATAGGTCATCACCAACACCTTGAATTGGGCCCGGGCTTCAATGGGAAGCCAGTGAAGCTGACGGAGGACTGGAGTCATGTGAACATAACACCCAGTTCCCGTCAGCAGCCTGGCAGCTCTACTTTGAACCAATTGAAGTATCCGGACCGTCTTCAAGGGAAGCCCCACGTAAAGCGCGTTACAGCAGTCAAGGCAGGAAGTCACCAGCGCCTGAGTCACTGTTGCGAGGCAGTCGTACTCCAGGTAGGGGCACAGCTGATGAATCAGCCGGAGCTGGAGGAAAGCGCTCCTCACTGCTGCTGTTACTTGAGCTTCCAATGAAAGCTCAGGGTCGAGGAGCACTCCCAGGCTGACCATACGATTCTATGATTGTCGATGTAAACTTCCCAGAGCTCTTTGGCTACAGGCAGTATGGAATGTGATAACAGGCCGAAGATTCCTGTGAGGTAGGCTAGGCTGAGAGGGAGTGACTGGCCCAAAACTACCCAATGATCCTCGTGGCCAAGTGTGGACTCAAACTCATATCTTCCAGGTCTCCAGTCCAATATTCTCACCATTGCCCAGCATGAGCTCCCAAGATCTGTGGGGCACCATTCCTCTTTTGACAGAGGCCAACCACTTTGGAAGGCTTGTAAAGGGCCAAGAGCTCCTGCTTTGCAAGCAAAAGTTCCTGGATTTGCCTCCACCCCCGCTGCTCCCCAGAATTGCCGAATAAACGGGGAGAGCCAGCTGCAGCTAGTTACTGACAAACCGGGCCATATGGGCACGTGAACCTGATGTGACCGGCAGCAGGATGCCGGTGAGAGTAAAAGCAAGTCTCAGTAGCTCCGGATGAAGGTCCGCCCTGATGCACCTTCTTCCCTTTGGGACACCCAACTAGCAGCTGGGACTTGGTGAGGGAGCCAAGGTTCAGATGCATGGAGAACCTTTTCCAGCAGGTGAGCCAGATTCTGTTTCCCAGAACTGCTCAGGAGCCAAACTGAGTGTTGTTTTTAAAGCTCTTCTTGCTACGAGCTGATCTGTGTGAGAGAAGGTTCCCATGATTTTGCAATGGCACGAAAGTTGTGAAACTACCAAGTGACGGGGAAAGGGCAGGCCACGGGGGGAGGGGGGACGGGACCCTCCAAATTGGCTTCTTTCCAAGCAGGCAGTGGTGGGAAACCGCCCAGTGGCTTGGGAGGATTTTGCAAGGTGCAGAAGGAGGAAAGGAGAACTTGAAAATGAGAAAGAATCTGCCAGTTGTGTGGCTGAGGAGGGGTGGGTGGAGGAAGCCCAGCTCTAGCTGTTTTGGTGAGCAAGCAGGGTGAACTCTGGGAGGAAGCTTAGAAGAGAAAGGACTACTTTGGTGCTCAGTGCGAAGCAGCAATTTCCCTCTCTTCTCAAGAGTAAGATGTGATGCAAGTTGTGTGGCGACTTTGAAGCAGAACTAGGTAGCGCTCTTCTTACTATTTTTCTGGAAGGAATGGAGGGACCTGCGTGCCACTGGCACCTTTGCGTGGCTTCATCTCAGCCTCCAGCTGTGTTAGACCACCGCTCATATTGACTGCAGCTGGCATGGCCGCTGGCTGTGCTTTCTGGGCATGATGGGAGTTGTAGTTTGCCACATCTGCAGGGCCCCGGTGGGGAAGGGCGTCTTAATAGTTTGCCTGGAGCTCAGCTGCTGTCCTTTTTGTCTGCCTCCTTCCCTCGGCCTGGTTTGTGTCTCTGTGTGTGCCTGTCTCGCTGGGCCCAGTTTGGAGCCCAGATGCACAATTTTCTCAGTCTTTCAGCCGCTGCAGCAGCCCTGAGCGTCTGCAGACCCTGCAGCTCTGGCTGCCTTGCTCTGCTCTTCCCTGGAGAGCCGTGTCTCTCGGTCTCTCTCCATTTCCTTTCCTGTCTGAGGGGCTGGGCAGGGGAGCCAAGCTCTGGCAGATGCTTATCACTCCGTTCTCACCATGTGCGCCTGTCGGCTCTCAGTTTCTGGGACGGCAATTATCTGGGGTGGCGTTTAGCCCATAGGACAAAGCAGTGTTCTCATTTGCATATGCAAATAAGCATATGCTCTAAGTTCTCTCTGTGTGTCTGTCTTTCTATCTGTATACAAGGATGAAGGGAGGAAGGGGCAGTGGATTCCGGCAGGATGATTCAGATGGGGGCAGGAGGAGTTGTGCAAAATCCAGCTCGCCTGGGGGGTGGGTTCAGCTACAGTCCCCCCATACCTTTATTTTAGCAGTGCTCCCCAAGGACTGGGAGGCAGGTGGCCTCCCAGCGATTCAGGCCTCCAAATGATCGGTCTGGGGCTCCAGGCTTAGGGGGCTAGTCCTTAACACTGCCATCTGCCAGTCATTCTACTCTTCTTGCACCTTGAGGACTAGTTTCCAGTGAGGATTTTGAAAGCAAGCAGTAAACTTGGCCCAGCACCAAATTCTGGCATTTTCAGGTAACTGAAAGCCCATTGAGTTCTGCTAGACCATCCTTTCACAATGCAGTGTCTTCCAGAATGTTTGGATTCCTGCTCCCATCAGCCCATGTGGCCCATGTTTGGGGATTATGGGAGTTGTCGTCCAAGATATTTGGAGGCTTTCGTATCCAAAAAAGGCTGATGCAGAGGCTACCAAGCCTGCTGGACTGCTGTTTCTGTGTAAATGGTCCCTCTGTTTAGGATTATGAGGACTAGAACCCTATTTCATCTGGAAAAGGAGGAGTTTAGCAGTCAAGCTCTGGCTTTACAGGCCCAGGTTCAAATCATGGCAACTCCCGGTAATGTATTTTGAGTCCTGCAGAGAGGAAGGATAATTTAGCCCTGCTGACCAGTTATTGCCTTGCTCCTCAGAGGTTTGTCCAGACAACATGACCACGAAAACCCCATCAGGAGGAATATGAGTTCTTCATCTCCTCCTCGGCTACTTGTGAGAAGGTACCATGATTCTTTGGGTCTCCCCCAAGTCAGACTGGTTGAAAATTAGGACGAGCCACCAGAGGTAAGATGGCATTTGCGAAATGTACACCAGGCTGGTCCCCTGAAGTTGGCTGGCATGCTAAAGCCGGGGGCTTGCTGTCTTGGACAGGCAGTTAAGAGTTCCAGAAAGGAGGAAGCAAGTAACCTCTTCCACCCCACCTCCCAAAAGCACAGTTTTGTGCAGTCTTTGCATCTGCTTGTTTATATGCAGAGGTGCAGATCTTAAAATGTGCATTTAAACTGAAACTGGGGGGGCGGTTCAGCCTAATGGCAGAGCTCCAACCTGGGAAAGGTTTCAGCATTTCCCCGGTGGGTGGGGCCAAAGGCAACATGGGTGTGGTCAAGGACAGAGTGGGGAGGGCCAGAGTGTGGTCCTTACCAATGTTAGACCCATTCAGAAGTAAGGGGGCAAAGCTCCTTATGTCTACCCAGAAGGAAGGATGACTGGATGCCAGGAAACCCTTCCTGAAGGTTAGAACTCCAAGGGTGTGGAATGGGCTTCCCCGGGAGGTGACTGAGGCCCCCCCAATGAGGGTGTTCAAGAATAGGCTGGACCTGCACATGGTGGGCATGTCGTGAGCGGAGCCGGCTGGAGCCAGGGGTCAGGCTAGATGGCCTAGGATGCCCCTTCTGACTCGTTCTGTTTCTGTTTCAGTGTTAACATGGGATTCGGAGAGAAAGTCTAGTGGCTTCTAGATCGAGAGAGGTATTTCTGTCACTCTATACGACTCTGGTGAGGAGAGACTGCAGGAGCTGGGCCTCTTCAATCTTGGGAAGAGGAGACTCAGAGGGGACCTGTTGGCGACATGCAGGTGTGTGAGGGGGTGTCACACGGAGGTGGGTAGAGACCTGTTCTCCTCTGCAGAGGAAGGCAGGATGCGCTCCAACGGAGCAAAGCTCAGGGAACCAAGGTTCCATTTGGATGCCAGGAAGCACTTCCTGACAGTCAGGACCCCAAGGGTGTGGAATGGGCTTCCACGGGAGGTGGTTGAGGCCCCATTGGTGAGGGTGTTCAAGGATAGGCTGGACGTCCACATGTGGTCATGTCATGAGTGAAGCCAGCTGAAGCCTGGGGTCAGACTAGATGGCCCAGGAGACCCCTTCTGACTCACTCAGTTTTCTATGTTTCTAAATCACTTGGTTACTTCCTCCCCAGTCCCAAACTTCTCCTTTGCATAGAAAAAGCACTGATTTCCATCTGGCTTGGGAACTGTGCTCACTGGGGCATGCTGGGAAGCATAAGCCTTTTTTTTTCCCTGACACCCTCATTCCGTAAAGCAATTAGCAACTGTACGTGGCAAACACTAAGAATTGTTTTCTTCTTGAGATGGAAGGATTGCTTTTCTAAGATGATGCTTTCCAAGATAAAAGCGCCTCCCCAGATATATTTTTCTTCCAGAAACGTGTTATCTACATGTAAAAGTATGCACATTTGATTGATAGATTAATCAGGTAGAACTTAATTGATTAACCAGTGAATTTCTTTAAGATTGCTTTGTTCTTCACCTTGGTTTTAATTTTCATTTGGGTTGAAAATAGATGATAGGGACGTGCTTGAAGAATAAAAGTTGAATTTCTCTTACTCTGTGTCCTCTCCCACACATATCTTTGAGCAAGCCTCTTCTTGAAAAAGAATTTAAAAAGCCCTGTCTGAAGAGGACCCCAGTATTGTGATTTTCAATGTTTCTAGATCTCACACTGGCCCACAGAGAGCAATTACAAAGAGTGACTTTAAAGTGAAGTTAAAGTCTGCATGGAGAGCGGTGGCGGAACATCCAGAAAAATGACCTTGGTCTGATCTCAGCCAAGAAATTTGTTTCTCTTCACCTCTAGCTTTGGTTGGCCCATTTTTGCAAGAAACTTCGATGCATTCTTCTGAGATGAATGTCGCAAATGCCTTCTTTTGCTGAAACTTGATCTCGGAACGCCTCTTGCTGAGGAGGGGTGGACACTCGCTTGGACTGGGCATTTGCCATCAGCCTTTGCATTCCAAATCCTTGCATTGTGTGTCTCCCCGGCCCCCAGCCCAGCTTCTGCCCAATCCTAGTGGTGGGACACAGGTTTGCAGCTTTCCTACAGCGATGGTTTGGTGCCTCTGTTTTCTTTCGGAAGACCAGAAAAATGCCATTGCAGTTGATAAAGAAATAAATCGACTTCTGCAAGAGCAAAAAAAGCGGGATCGGCGGGAGCTGAAGCTGCTTTTGCTGGGTGAGTGTGTGGTTTCTTCTTCTTTTGATCCTTAAGCAGAAACAAGATTCCAACAAGGAATGGCATATGAGATGGGAGAAGCCAGAGGCAGGCTACCCGAGAGCTGGCATTGGATCAAGCAAACAAGGAATGCATTTTCCCCCCTTTTCCTGTCCCCACAACTCTGTGGAAAGCCATATTCCTTTTGAGGTCTGTCATGAAAGTTAACTAAGTTTTTAAACTAGATCTAAATCTAGAGCTCCTTAGCTGATTTATCAAATCAATGACCCAGGATGGAATTCTGCTTGGAAGATGTTGCAACATCTAAAAAGCAACCAACAGCAGAAGTTTGGGTGTACATTCACTGTGTCTGTGTGAATGCACACCCTGTTGGAACATGGTAGGCCAGTTGGAACTTCAGTGATTCATGTCTGATTTAACATTCACTCTCAGTGGGTTGTCTCTACCGAAATCGGAATCCAACTGAAACCGAATGTTGTCTGTAGCCATTTGCAAGTTTATCGATAGATCAGTTAAGACCCAGAATAAAGATTATGAAGGAATTCAGGATGTCCACCCTGAAGAAGAATGCGTGTGTTTTGTTTAGTAAGCTTAGCACTCCAATATGAGACACGGAAGGCAGGCAATGGGGAAGATTACTGATTCATCTTTATTTCTCTGAAATATTTTTTTTAATCTGATGCCTCAGCCAAAAAAGAGATGGGGAGGAAAGAGAAGAGCATTAAACCAGCCTTAACCAACCAGCATGGGAGTCATTTTCCCTCGCTTTAACTAAATATTTCACCTGATTCCGAGCGCAGTTTAAATGCTTTTAAAAACCTACTGATGGTCATTGTCACAGTGTGTATGTGTGTTTAAATTGTTATATAACGGAACTATTAAAATCTTAAAGCAGAACATTTTGGCTTAGTGACTCAGGGTCCTGTACCCACTGTAGCAATTCTGGAACACTGAGCACAGAATATTGGGCACCCTGTGGATCTCCCACAAACAAGTCAAAGTCTATTATTTTTGGGATCTGGCACTGCCATGTCTCCAAGAAACCTGGGAAGAAAAGATGGCTGGTTTACCGGGGACAGGGACACGGAGTATATATTTTCCCTCTGGAAAACAAGAATTGTTTTTACTGCATTCACTGCAGGCACCGGAGAAAGTGGGAAAAGCACCTTCATCAAACAGATGCGGATCATCCATGGGGTGGGCTACACGGAGGAGGACAGGAAAGGATTTGTCAAGATTGTGCATCAGAATATCTTCATGTCTATCCAGGCCATGATCCGGGCCATGGACAGCCTTCAGATCATGTATGCCCAGGCTGAGAATGGGGTGAGTCACTAGGTAGAAGAGCAGCCATGATGGGAATCACAGTGGAGGTCCATGTAGTCTAGCAACAGGTTTCCAAGAGGTTGTTTGTGGGCAGCCCTTGAACGGGACAGCACGGCCCAGAGGTAAGGATGCTGGAGAAGCTGGCAACGGATTCAGATCACCATGACTACAACCTGCAGTCTGTGCAATCGATTCCCAGTAGTGGAGAGATTTGGGTTTTCAAACTATCTTTTTACTTCTTGGGGGGATTCACTCAAATTCACACTAGCAAGAAGATGCACCAGCATAGTTGTGCCCTTGCACTGATGTGCAATCTTTTTATTTCTTAAATTTATAACCTGCCTTTTTTCCTTCCAAGGAACTCAATTCCTTTCCTCCCCCCTTATCTTTAGAGTCAAATGGCATGATATTTTCATACATACCAAAGCAAAGCACATTAGTCAATAAGTTGATGATGGAAGGAAAGATGGAATGGGCTGAATGAAATCTCTAGAACCCCTTTCAGAGGTACACTGCTCCTTAACATGGAGGTTCTCTGGAGCCATAGTGATAGATCAGCTCCTTGTGTAAACTTGAGATGGTGGTCACTTATGAATTGCTGAAAAGGGAAATGCATCCCCAAAAAGAGAGGATGGCAGTTTCATAAATGTGCATTTAGATGTGCAGAAACACTTATAGAAACAAAACTGAGTGAATCAGAAGGGTATCCTGGGCCATCTAGTCTGACCCCCAGCTCCAGCTGGCTCTGTTCATGACATGCCTACCATGTGCATGTCTAGCCTATCCTTGAACACCCACACCGATGGGGCCTCAAGCACCAGCCATGGAAGCCCATCCCACACCCTTGGGGTCCTAATCATCAGGAAGTACTTCTTGGCATCCAAATTGAACCCGGATCCCCTGAGCTTGGCTCCGTTGGAGCACATCCTGCCTTCCTCTGCAGGGGAGAACAGGTCTCTACCCACCTCCGTGTGACACCCCTCACATACCTGTATGTCACCCCCAGATTCCCTCTGAGTCTCCTCTTCTCCAGGCTGAAGAGACCCAGTTCCCTCGGTCTCGCCTCATACAGCATCCCCTGCAAACTGGCCACCAGCCTTGTGGCCCTTCGCTGCACTGACTCTAACCTGGCTATATCCTTCCTGTAATGAGTGGCCCAAAACTGAGCACAATACTCCAGTTGCAGGCGCACCAGAGTCGTGTAGAGTGGCAGGAATACCTCTCTCGATCTAGAAGCCACACTTCTGGCGATGCAACCAAGGGTGGCGTTCGCCCTCTTGACTGCAACGTCACATGTCCCCTAACCTGGACTTATGACACCCATTCCCATGCCCCAAGTGCAAAACCTTGCACTTGTCCATATTGAACGCCATCCTGTTGTCTCCTGCCCACTTGCATAGTCTGTCCAGATCCTTCTGGATATGGAGGACCTGCTCCTCCAGTTTTAGTGTTGTCTGCAAATTTTATCAGCAGACAGTTGGCTCCTTCTTCCATGTTGTTGATGAAAAGATTAAACAGCTTGTCACTGGCCGCCATCCTGATGATTCCCCACCAATGGTTACCCTCTGCTTTCGGTCAGTCAGCCATGCCCTAATCCATCGGACAGTGCTTTGGTGTATCCCAAAATTCCTCAGTTTCTCCACCAGGATATGATGGGGCACTTAGTCAAAGGCCTTGCTGAAATCCAGGGAAACCACATCCACTGCATCCCCTCCATCCAGCCACCTCAAAATCTTGTCGTAGAATTTGCAAGGTTTGTCTGGCAGGACCTGTTTTTGTGGAAGCCGTGTTGTGTGGCTGTCAGCCTCCCTTCCCTGTCTAGCATCACTAGATCGCTCTCTATTATGAGCCTTTGCATTGTTTTTCCTACAATGGACATAAGGCGAACAGGTCTGCAATTCCCCATGTCCCTTCTACTACCCTTTTTGGAAATTGGGACCACTGACGCCACCCTCCGGTCTTCTGGAACTTCACCTGTTCTCCACGAGGCCTCAAAAATGGAGGCCAGTGAGCGTGAGAGAACCCCTGCCAACTCCGTAAGTACTCTCGGGTGTAACCCATCAGGGCCTGGTGCCTTTGTAATGTCCAGTGCCCTGAGGAGCCCCTCGACTTCAAGGGGTGTGAGTCTAATTTGTGCCCCTAAGTCCCCAGCCCCATCTAATCTCCCATACGGATCTCCCCCATCCTGCTTTGGGGAGAAAAGAGGCAAAATAGCCATTTAGCATCAGTGTCTGTTCCCTCACATCAGTCACTGGATCCCCTTCCTCCTTATTAAGCAGTTCCACTGCTTGTCTCCTCTTCCTCTTGCTATTTACAAGTTTATAGAAGTCCTTGTAATTAAATAGAAATGCAAGGAAAAACTGTGGCTAGGGGACATTGTTTTCTTTGTGTGCCTGCACTCCAGCTGCTAACTGGAGTAGGGGAATGGTTCTCGACCTGCAAACTGGGCTTGGAGTGGGCCGGCCTTTGGTAGAGGCAGTCCTCTGTAAGAGAGGGCATGGGGCCACTCGAGGTCTGAGGACAACGGCCAATCATACATGGGCACTGGGTGGTTGCATGTTTGCAATTCGCCACTTGCGTGAACAGCCTTGGGAATTCTTTTGCTCACTTCTAGCAAAATGCCTCACTGCTCCTGGGAGTGGATTCATACAAGGTGACTGTGATGGAGACAAGCCATGCCAGGATGATCAAAAGCCTGTGGAAGGACTCCAGGATCCGGACCTGCTACCGGAGGCGGCGTGAATATCATTTGTTGGATTCAGCTGCTTAGTTAGTACCTGCTTTCCTTCTGCGCTACTTCTCTTTCCTTGTTTCCTCTGGTAATAGCTTGCCTTTCCCCAAAGGAGCCTGAGGCCATGATATGACACAGTCCTCCTTTTCCGCCTGGTTTCCTCACAACAACCCAGCAAGGTAGAGCAGGCTGGGAATCAACACCTGGAATTAGTGAATCCACTCCTACTGAACACTTGAGCTTGGATTATTGTCTTGTTTCAGCTCGGTCTGTTACTGGACCAACGTCACCCAGTTAGCATCCTGGCAGACTAGGGAGTAAAACTAGTTCAACTCTCTAACCACTGTGCCACACCACTTAAGGAGGATTGGATGTGCCTGCATCCAGCTCATGTCCATTTTCTTCTGTAGGACTGTACCATTCCAGTTCCCCTTTCACCTGCCATCTTAGAGAAAAGTTTTGCCAAAAGTATTTCTAGTCAATGTATTTAAACTAGGAGTGGGCCGAAACAAGTTTCGTTGCAATTGTTTTAGTCCAGTAAGTGGTACATAAAGTGGGGAAGGAAAGCAAAATGTTGGGGTTCCTTTCTCTCTCTCTGCCTTCTGCCCTTCCATTCACCCAAGAAGCTGGCACTGGTGACCCAAAATGCTTGGAGGAAGAAAAAATCCCCACCTGTACCATGAATAACACAGTAGGCATTTCCTCACTGCAATGCCATTTGGCTCCTTCTTCCTTTGCAAAAGTAGCCAATGTGCCTCTTCTTTTGCCATCCAAGAAGAACAGGTTGTACCAAGACAGGTGGCCTCACCTAACCCTTCACTTTAGACGTGCTGTGTTCTGAAAACGTGTGTTTTCAGGGACTGTTTTGATCTGTCCACACTGCCGAGACCTGCAATGCGACGTTCAAACAGAGAAGAACAGGGACCAGCAGGAAGCCCAGTTCCAATCGGAGGTTTAATCCTAGGGGTTTCGATCACTCAGTTTTGCATAGCAATGTGCAGAAATGAGGCTTTGCAAGCATCCGCTCATTTTCCTCTTCACAAAGGCCTCCCCTGGTTGCTTATTTCTCTCCCTGGTGAACAGATGACCCTCTTTTTCTGTCTTTGGAGAGAGGCCTTGTTAAAATGTTGTTAAGGTAATTTGCTAGCACAGAAAAGCTTCTCTACACGAGGGGCTTATTCTGGTCCTTTACTAAGACTCCTGCCTCTGGAAAAACAAGTTCTTTATGAGAGGCTTGTTTTCCTCTGGGGTTTGTATGTCCCTGACGTTTTCTATGGCCTATTAACCGAACACGAGGTAACACCGTGTTTCAGCTACAGCATGGCAGATCTGCAGCTTTTAAGGTTTTTATGCTGGGTGTTCGGGTTCGAAGTGAAAAACTGCCCCCCCCCCGCTCAAAAATAAGCAGTAGAAAGCCCCCGCAAGCTTCTCTGAGAGAGGGATTCCACATGCACAATATCTCAGGCAGAGAAGACCTGCATCTCACCCTGAGATGTATCTCTGCTGTACGTGCACCACTGTAGCTGCTGATGTTCGGCCTTGAAATCTGTTTTCCTCCAGTATATCTTTGATCCTAAGAACTCCTGCTGCTCTGGCTTGGGGTGGGGAGGAAATCTAGCAGTGTGTCCATGGGGAGAGGGCACCCCCAACTGGGCGGAACTGGGATCCTCAGGTGGGATGCCTTTCATACTCCTGGAACACCGGAGAAAGGGTTTTTCTAGCGGAACTGGCACCGTGCAGCAGCAGGACCCCTTGGGTCAATTGTCCAAACTTGTTCATTTTGGAGGGGGGATAACCAGTTTTTGGACAGTGGTGTTCTCCCAGGGTGTCTTCACCCTCTTAAAACAGGGCAGGTTGTTCCAAGGAAGATTGCTTTGGTGCAGGTTCCATGCAGGAAGGTGAGCAAGCTGTTTTGTTGTTTGTTGAGTTACAAAGTCATGCCACCCATCGTGACCCCACGGACAACATTCCTCCAGGACTTCCTGTCCTCCACCATCCCCCAGAGTCCACCCAAGCCCACACCCACCTCCCCAGTGGCTAATATAGTTTTAAGATTAGGTTTTATTTATTGTAATATCTTGATGCTGTTGTCGTTGCTAGTTGCGAAGTTGTGTCCGACCCATCGCGACCCCATGGACAACACTCCTCCAGGCCTTCCTGTCCTCCACCATCCCCCAGAGTCCACTTAAGATCACACCCACTGCTCCAGGGACCCCATCCAGCCACCTCATCCTCTGCCGTCCCCTCCTTCTTTTTCCTTCCATTGTTCCCAGCATCAGGGTCTTCTCCAGGGAGTCCTTCCTTCTCATTAGGGGACCAAAGGATTTGAGCTTCATCTTCAGGATCTGGCCTTCTAAAGAGTAGTCAGGGTTGATCTCCTCCAGGACTGACCGGTTTGATCGCCTTGTGGTCCAAGGGACTCGCAGGAGTCTCCTCCAGCACCACAATTCAAGGGCCTCAATTCTTCTCTGCTCAGCTTTCCTTATGGTCCAGCTTTCACAGCCATACATTGCAAGCTGGTGGGGGAATATAAAAAGGCTCTCATCGTCTTCTGCCCGGCTTTTCAGGAGAGCGCTGGGACTTTTCTGCTAGCGCCCACAGGAGAGTAATCCCTGCTCTTTGCAGGTTAGTAACTCAGAATTGGTGCCTATGTCCTGCCTTTTTCCTCCTGCCTCCCTCTCCCTTTTCCTTTTATGTGGTGTCTTTTAGATTCCAAACTTAAGTGCCAGGACTGCCTTATTATTAATTTTTGTAAGCTGCTTTGGAAGCCTTTTTGGTTTTTACTCTGCTCTTCATTAACTACACAAAAATAACTAAATAAATAACAATTACCTGGATGCAGCAGACAGAAGTTGGAGCATGAAGCAATTCATGGATATGAGTGCTCCAATTTCATCGAATGATCAGTGCGGGGTGAATTCTAAGTGTGTGGAGGGAACACGGTGAATGAAGGAACCTCTTTGGTGACTTTGATCCCTCTGTCTTTCAGTTTCCTGTCCAATCTGGACCGCATTACAGCTGATGGGTACATTCCAAGTTCTCAGGACATCTTAAGAACCCGTGTGCCAACAACCGGCATTAATGAGTATTGTTTTTCTGTGCAAAAGGTAACTTTAAGGTGAGCTGAGCTAGAAAAGGATTGGTCTGATCATTGCTAGATGGGCCTGAAGCTGGGCAAATGATTCATAACCAGGTGATAATACACAACGATCACAATTCTATAGGAATCAAACCAACATCAGCAGACCAGTGAAGTCAACTCATGCGCCATAGCTCTGTGTTAAATTGATTGGCTAATGCATGTGAAACGTGTGCAGACCGGGTTGGAATCGCACAGCTTTCTGCTCCCCGGACTTCCTGCCCATGTTCTATCATAGCTGGGAAGCAAGCCAAGCTGAAATCAAGCCCGCAAATGTTTGGGATTCTTCATGCAAAGTATGCCAAGGACATGCAAAACATGAAACCTGCTTCTGTGGAAGAACTCCACAAACTGAGCTGGATTGAGGGCAGAAAGGGAGAGAAAGCCCTTTTGGGGCCAGGCTGAGAAAACCCAATCGATCCCCACCCCCAGACCAGTTTCCTGACACATTCCCAGTTGGAATCAGGAAGCTGAGGTCCTGCTCTTCTGGACCTGGCATATCCTGAAGGACGAAGACAAGAACCCTTTGAAATCAATACCTGGCTCCCAGTCATTATGTCCCTAAATCCAGTTTCTTTCTCAATCAATCAATGTTGCTTCTGGCTGGTTTCATTCAAACCCAGCCGTGGGAGTCACGGCGGTAGCATTTTCAGTGCTGGGCTCATTTCTGGCAGAGCAGGGAGATCCAAAACCTCGGAGCGCTTCTCCCAGTCTCTGCACAGAATATGGCTGGACTTGATGGATTATTGGTCTGACCCAAACTAAATAGCTTCTGTTCCTAGGATTGTTGATGTTGGTGGGCAGAAGTCGGAGCGCCGGAAATGGATCCACTGTTTCGAAAATGTGATTGCCTTGATTTATTTGGCATCTCTCAGTGAATATGACCAGTTCCTGGAGGAAAACAGCAGTGAAGTGAGAGGTGTATTTTTTCTTGTTTGTATGCTTGCTGAAATGGAATTTTGAACACTTCCAGCAAACTGATGGACTTTACACTGGGCAACTTTTGGCCCTGAATCTATTAATAAAAGTACAGATCAGTTTTGCCCAGCCCAGCGCCCGCCAGGCATGTACTACAACTCCCATCACCCCCTGTTTCGCCACACTGGCTGGGGATGGTGGGATATGCTGTCCAGTGCCTCTGAATGGTGATCTGGGTGAAGAAGGCCAGTGAAGATTGTATGCACAGAGAAGGAGCATAGAAAAAAAACTATATTTTCACTTGTCTGATGTTTGCGAATCTGTGACCAGTGCAAGGGAGTCAAAAATGCTGTCGGTGTTTTCATTCACATTGCTCCATGGCCCAGCCTCTCAGGTTGTTTTCTGCACTTCCTCATTGTAAGGGTTAGGGTCCTCCATTCTGTCCTCCATGTTTTACTTTGAGAAGTGGGGAACAAGGGGGTTATGTGCTGCTGGAGAGAGAGAGAGAGAGAGAGAGAGAGAGAGAAACTTTATTTCAGCCAAACCAGTTCTCTTCGATACATACATAGATTAAAAAAGTAAATACACAAAATATTATGTATATTAAAACTTCACTCAGGTTAACAAATGCTTCAGCTCAATCTTCATCACATTAAATTGGTGACAATTCCAGACTTTGCCCTTGTGTGTGACTAGGTAGAGCCACAATCCCCCGGGATCTGTCTTCAGACACCCATCCTCCTGGAGAGAGGATTGTACTATGAAAACATACACACTCCTCAGCCACTGCCTAGGCAATAAAAGTGCAGGAAATCCAAGCCCAACCCATGATTTCTCAGAAACTTTCTTCGTCATCAGCTTTCTTTTCGCAAGAAATTTGTTTTCTATCAGATTGAATGAAAACAGCCCCTGATGAATTGAGGCAGCTTCTGAGCAAGCTTCATTTATTCATTGCCTTTTTTTACTGCCCAATAGCCGAAACCTTCTGGGGAGTTCACAACATTTAAAACAAAATACAGTCTAATTTAGTCTAGGGCTGCTCCCAATATTCCTTGCAGAGGAACCAGAGCTATGTAGTAAAAAGGCCCTTTGGCACACAGCATTTCCATCTGAAAGGCTGAAGGAGCAGGTAGCTAGAAGGACCTTTGGAGAGGTAGTGGAAGTCTCTCTCAATGCACCAATGCACCAGGTAGCTTCTTCGGTTGCTTCTCGAATCTATCCTTTAAGCCACAGGCTTAAAGTCCACAAGGACTCGGATCTTACTTTGCTTTAAGGAGAAAGACTGTGTAGTACAGAGGGTATTTTGCATGCTTAAAAGGCCCAGATTCATTCCTGGTGTTTGTGCGTAGGAATGGGAAAGAACAAGCAACAGGGGCTATACTTCAAAGGAGCTGTCTGTGGTGCCCAGACTATATGGGGAATAAATGCAGCAGTACATCGAGCTCCTGAAGTGGATAAACTTCCCCCAGAGACTGGATTGCATAAAGCTATGTCTTACACTCCTGCTTGAACCTTTCCCTTACATGAGGATCATGAGGACTAGAATCTTACATTATTTTTAGGAGAAGGAATATAGCACCATCTTCTTGGCATGGCAAAGTTTCCTGGTTCAGTGATAGGAGAAGGTCTTCCCAGGTGATCTCAACTGGTAATTTGAAACTGGGCTTTTTTTTGTCTAGAAGCATTTGTTTATTTATTATTTAAAACTTTTATATGCTGTCCCTTATGCATGCCATTTAATTGCTTGTAAGGACGGCTTACAATCAGTTAAAATCAAATACATTAAAACAATCTATAACAATAAATAAATAACATAAAACCAATAAAAATAAATTAAGTAGAAAACAAGTGTTACGTTAAAATACTAATTGCGCAGTGGTTTAAACTGCTGTGCTGCTGGGCTGGTTGATCGAAAGGTTGCCGGTTCGAATCTGCACAACGGGGCGAGTCCCCGTTGCTCCGTCCCAGCTCCTGCCCACCTTGCAGTTCGAAAGCCTACAAATGCAGGTAGATAAAAAGGTGCCACTTCAGTGGGCAGGTAGCAGCGTTCCCTGCACCTCGGTGTTCAGTCATGCGGCCACACGACCACAGAGACCGTCTGCAGACAAACGCTGGCTCCCTTGGGCAGGAAACGGAGGTGAGCACCGCCCCCTGGAGTCAGGCATGCCTGGACTTAATGTCAAGGGGAAACCTTTATCTTTACCTTTACCTTTTAAAATGGTTTTGACCTGGCGCTGAAAAGAGAATAAGCTCAGCACCAGGGGAGCCTCTCTGGGGAAGCACATTCCATTTCGCACCAAGGAGGCTTGGAAATAAATGCTCTGCGCATGTAGAGCACAATCTGCTGTATGTTTAGAAGAAAAAAAGGCACGCAACTCAACATGCCTTGCAAACTTGCTTGAACCCATGTGTTAACTGGGACTCTTTTGGCGTGAACTATCATGAGCCTTATCTGCCTCCTGCTCAGCAGCTTTCATTCCCAAGAGCTGATGTGTTTGCAACGGGATATGATGCTTTTTGTGTTGTGCCTTAGAATCGGATGCAGGAGAGTCTGGACCTCTTCAGAACCATCCTGGAGCTTCCGTGGTTTTGGAACACCTCCATTATCCTCTTCCTGAACAAAGTGGACATTCTGGAGGAGAAGATCATGACCTCTGACCTGGCATCTTACTTCCCAGAGTTTCCAGGTAACGGAAACCTTCTCACTCCATGTGGAAGGAGTGCATGGGGGGGTGCAGCATCTGAGGTTCCCTTGACCATCTTTGGTGGGGAGCCCCAAAAGTGTTTCCCACAGGGTGCTCAGGGGCACCCAGAATTTCTAAACAATATTCATTTTTCCTGCTGTGTTTTCAAGACAGACAGGGCTGCATTCATTGGTCCAATGGTGCACTCATCCCATGGTTCTCTTCAGTCTTCCCATCCTTGGGGGTCATTTATTTATCCATCAGTAGCACACCTCTCCTCCTTGCAAGGAACTTAAGATGGTGTAATTTTCCTCCACCTCTCCATTTTATCTGCACAAATGTGTGAGGTAGGTCAGGCTTAGAATCAGTGGCTGACCCAGGTTCACCCTTCACATCTGAGTTGGGCTCAAGCAGACTTTCTAACTGTCTCCCAAATGCCAGTTGAACCGGAACCCAAACTTGTCTTGTTTTCAACTGGTGCAGTCCAGGATAGGAAACTTCATTCTTAATCATAAACTCAGGTGGGGAGCAAGAGCAAAATATTAATCAAACTGCAGCTTCTGAGAAACCAGAGGAAGTTACAGATAGCTTCAGGGGAATGCCAGGGTTTGCAGAAATTAAATAAGCAATTGTTAGAAAATGAAAACAGTTGGCTACTTCGGTGGACTGTTCAGCTAAAACTCTCCAGAGTTAGGTGTAAAATATTGGCTCGGGGTTGTTCGTTGTTGATAAGCACGTGATAAGCACAGGAAATTGTTTTGGGAGGTTTTAGTTATGTGCCACAGGGAAGGTTTTGGTTCTCCCCTGTACTCCCCCACACCTCTGTTTCAGTTGAATGCAGGGGAAAAGGAGAGTTTGCTCTTGGTACTGTCAGATCATCAGGAACCAGAGATCTGTTGCTGATCTGCAGTAATACGTACTTTCAGAAATCCACCACACCCATCCTTTGCCTGTTGCCAGTTGCAAGTGCAGAATAAGTATGGCGGGGAGAAAAGTTGGCAGAATAAAGTTTATTTTGCATCTTGCAAAATAAAAGCTGGTTCTGCCCACGTCCTGGTTTTCTTGCAGAATTCAGCTTGCTCAGTTTCAGCTTTTCTTTTCCAGAATTTGTTGAGCAAGCCTTGTGTGGCCTTGCCATGATGCTAAACATACACAGTCTTGCTCTCAAAATGGTGCATTGTTTCTTGACTCTTATTTATTTATTTATTTATTTATTTATCTACTTATTTAATTAACATAAACAAAATAGAATATGAGACAGAGCAAGCTAAAACGAACAAAGTGAACAGAGTTGCCAAGGGAATTCTATACATAGACAAGCTATACATTCCTCCCTTCAAATCTATTTTCCTGTCTTTCAACTCTCTATGATAGTTTAACAAAAAAGAAAGCATTAACCTATACAATAGATCTTTTAATCCTCTTCAAATCCTCTAATGCTATTTTTCTTTTCTAAGCTCCCCTCAGATCCCATTAGTCATGCTGAGCATAATAAAATTTCCATTTATCATTAAATTCTTCTAAAAATCCTCTGTTTGCATAGTTAACTTTTCCACCACAGTATATTCTGCTAGGTCTATTTCTCTGTTCTTCCATGATTGGGGGCTTCAATGATCCCCATTTAGAACAATTGTGACTCTTGCTGCTGTGGTCATATACTTGAATTACTCTGATGTATTCTTTGAAAGACCGTCCAGCACTATATTCAAAGGCATATTCTCGAGACTCATGGGAAACTTAATTTTTAAAATGTTCTGCATTTCCGCATGTATCAGTTTCCAAAACGTTTTTGTTATTTCACAAGTCCACCATGTATGATAGAAACTCCCACCCATTCTGTTACATTTGCAGTAATTCTTATCTATTTTTTCAGTATCTTTTGGAGTAATGTACCACTGATGAAACATCTTATACCAATTTTCTCTTAATGCTCGACTGGCAGTGAATTTAATATCTTTCTCCCAAACATCTTCCCACTGACATGGTGGTATTTCTTCACCAAGATTCTGTTTCCAAATTGTCATGTGTTTCTTATCTTGATGACTTTCAGTATCATAATGTAATAACAGTTTGTAGAGTCTTCTCAGTAGGTGATTATTCTGCTGTGTAATCAGCTTTTCAAAATCTGTCACATTTCTTAAGGTACGTTCTCCTCGTTGTTTTTCCCCTTTCAATCTTGAAATCAATTCATGATAAACAAGCCAATGTATGTTTCCCCCTTCATCTTTCAGTTGTTGCCAAGATTTAACACATCCTAACTGATCAATAGCATCTCGATAACTTATAAGATCAATATTTCTCCTTAAATGTTTTCTGTGTGCTTCAACTGGGGACAGCAGAAGGGAGATTGGAGGACTATTTTTTTCTCATGACATATCCAATTTTTATTAAACTTTCTCTTAATGCATGGTTGTTCTTTGGGATCAGAGTCTTTTTAAAGAACTCCTTAAATACATGTTCCATCTTCACAATCGTCTATTTCTAAGATCATATGCTTGTCACTGGCATTTATAATCAGTCTTCAATACAGACCAGACATGTCGCATAATAGAACAATTCCAAATAAGGTATGTCAAGGCCTCTCTCCCCTTCGCATACTGAAGGATTTCAATCTGATCTCAGTTTATTGGCATTCCAGATAAAATTGTTTAATTCCCTCTGCCAGCCTTCAAAGACTTCCTGGTACCACAGTTAGCATCATCTGGACAAGACATCTCCTTTTAGTTACTCCATTCAATTTTTAATTGAAATTCTTCCCAACCAAGATGCTTTTCATTTAGTCTGTTTTGTAACTGTGCTTGGACAGCATCCAAATTGTTTTGGTAGGATTTCTAAAGGTCTGCAGAAAGAAAGGGTTGAGTTGTACCTGAAGGGAAATGTGCTCTAAATTTGAACAGGTGAATATCACTGGGAGCCACCAATGCAAAGCAGCATGTTGGTGTTCTGAGAAAAACATTTTGAGTGAATTCAGCAGGATGTTAGCTTTCTTGGCTTTGACTGCCACCTAAGAACCTGGTCTTGGTATTACCCTCAATGTTGAGCCATTTCTGTGTGGGGGAAACAGAATTTTGCCCCCCTGCTTTAGCCTAAACACCCTCCAACCTTTGCTCAGCCACCCAGCACCTGTCAATTCAAGGGAACATCAGAAATTTGACTCCATATATATAGATGGTCTTGCCATCTGAATATTCTGGGATCCCAGCAGGACTACTCCATGAAAAAGTTAGGGAAAAATTGGGAGATGGTGTGCATCCAGTTGTGTTAGTTTGTACATGCACACAGAGGGACATACATCTCCCAACTTTTAGGAGTTCTGTAGTTCTGTTTGTTTATAATATATATAGCTTGCCTTGTTTCCTTCCAACGAACTCAAGGCAGCTTACATAAATCTCCTCCTCTCAATTCCATCCTCACAACAACCCTGTGAGGTAGGCTAGGCTGAGAGTCTGTGACTGGCGCAAAGTCTCCAAGTTGGCCCCATGACTGAGAAGGAACTAGAACCCAGATCCCCTGAGTCCCAGTCCTGCACTGTGAGAAGTTCTCTGTTACCTCGTGTCTGCTTCTTGGTGGAAATTATTTCTGGTTAGGTTAGCCTTGTACTGGCAGAACAATGGCTCTGATGCAGCCCACACTGTCTCTGGAAGGACAGGAGATGGGCATCTCCCCCAGCAACCTGGCCAACCAGCCAAAAAGCTGGATTTTGGAAGGATGGAGGTTGGCGGAGCTTGGAGATGGCAAGCAGGCTGACCTCTCCCTTTCTAGGAATGATCCTGCCCACGCATTCCCAGGGGCTGCAGAGGCTTGCTTGCTAGTTGTGAAGTTGCGTCCGACCATTGCAACCCCATGGACAACACTCCTCCAGGCCTTGCTGTCCTCGTACACCAGCAATCGGTCCCTGTACCCCTGCAGCGTCCCCAGAAGTCCCTGGCAGTACGAGGCGCTCCCTGGGGTCTGCTGGGTCCCTCACGAAGGGCCCTGTCGCTTCTCTCCCTCCAGGCCCCAAGCAGGACGCCCACGCAGCCAAGGGCTTCATCCTGGAAATGTACACGGACATCTTTGCACAGCTCGTGGCCCCGAGCGACAGCGCTGTGGGGAGCCCTTCCAAGGAGGCCTACCGGCCCCGGACCCTTTACCCCCACTACACGTGTGCCACGGACACGCAGAACATCTGCACGGTCTTTGAAGACATCAAGGACGCGGTCCTGGCACGCTACCTGGACGAGTTCAACCTAGTCTGAGAGAGAGAGAGAGAGAGAGAGAGAGAGAGCCACCTCAAAGGGTGTGGGAAAGGAGCATCGAGGTAACCTTGGCAACCCCATATAAAGAAAATCTTTATACAATGTTTTGTAGATGGTATTTATTGCCAAATAGATTAGCAAAAATGTTTCCCAGTATGTCAAATGGATGTTGGAAACGTAAACATGAACCTGGCACTTTTGATCCTACGTGGTAGACTTGTGATAAGGCAAAAAAAATACTGGGCTAAAATACATAAATGGCTTGAGGAAATGTTACAAAAACCTTTAATATTGAGACCTGAAGTTTTTCTATTAGGCGTTGTGTCTGATGATGTCGACAAACAAGCAACGTATTTGATCCTACCTGTGATTACTGTGGCAAGGATTGCACTTGCCCAACGTTGGAGGAGTGAAGAACGAACCACTGATGAACTGATTTTAAAAAAGATCTTGGATTGCACTGAAATGGACAGGCTGGCTTTGCCTCTGAAGGAGGAAGAGGAGACATATTTCTATCAAACTTGGAACTCTTTTTACTATTGGCTAGAGAAACGGGAACATGCACAGATTTGAATATGGCTATGGATTGTTATAAAAAAAATATATATATATATGGGGGGGCTGACCCAGTATGTCTGATGTCTTTGACGATTGATGATTTTCATTTTTATTTTTAATTTGCAGAACATAATAATAATAAAACTTATTTTAAAGAGAGAGAGAGAGAGAGAGAGAGAGAGAGAGAGATAGAGCGCCACGCAAGGAGCCTGAATGCCCTGGCAGAGGAATCGGGTGCCTCTTCCGAGCTGCGGTGCTGGCGTCTCCTCTCACCCCGTTCCCCCTCGGCTTTCTCCCCAGCTCCAGAGGAGCTTCCACCAAGAGGCTCCACCCCCAGACTTTGCCCCGGACGGGAAGGCTCCCCTCCAGCCCACAGCACCCCGGGACGGGGCCTTGTCCTCCGGCACGTTGGCCTCGCCGTGGTGGCTCTGCCCATTTCGTGACTGGCGAGCAGCCTCTGTGGCAAAGCGGGACGGCCTCGGGTCGCCGGCTGCACTTTCTGCAGCTTTTATGCTGGTGCTGCAGAATGAGAGAGATCTGGCATTCCATCCCGTGCATCGCCTTACACGATGGCCTGACGCAAGCCCCTTTGGAAAAATACAAAGATAAATAAGAGCACACGTCAAGTGTTCCTGTGGGGCAGGCGGGCAGGGAGAGGGGATTGCCCTAATGGAGCCTTACCCCAGGGATCCCCCCCCCCCACGAATTCCTGAGCTGTGGGCTCGCTGAGCCGGGAATCAGACCTTTCAGAACCAAAGACAAGCCCTGGGGCAGGATCGCTCTTGGTGCCCCATCCAGCCCAGCGCCCAGTCCCAGCACGGACCGCCAGATGCCCATGGGAAGCCCACAGGCAACGCCCCCAGCTTGCTCCGACAGACAGCCACCTTTTCCCACTCTCTGGCCAGAACCTGGCATCCCGCAAATGAGCCCGTGATTCCCTGTCCTGCACTTCGGGAGGGCCAAGAGGCCTGTTCCACTGCCCCCCACCCCTCAGCTTCATGGGTGGCCTCTTTGAAGGCCAGACTGGGGAAAGTCTCCTGGGAGAGGGTCCTGGAAGGGGGGGAGTTGAGGAGGGGTGGATGGCACTCAAGAGGGAGGTTTTGGAGGCGCAAGCCTTGACGATACCTCTGGTCAGTAAGGTGGGGAGGCGGAGGAGAGGCCGCCATGGATGTGAAAGGAGGTGGTTAGAGGGATTAGACGAAAGAGGAACCTCCGTAGGAAATGAGTACTGGGGGAAATAGACAAAAGGGTACACCGGGAGGAGGAGGCCCATTGCAGAAGGATTCTTCCCAAGGCTAAGGCTGATTACATAGCCAGAAGTGTGGCGTCTAGATTGAGAGTGGTATTACTACCACTCTATACAACTCTGGTGCGCCTGCAACTGGAGTATTGTGCTCAGTTCTGGGCCCCTCATTACAGGAAGGATATAGCCAGGTTGGAGTCAGTGCAGCGAAGGGCCACAAGGTTTGCAGCCGGTTGCAGGGGATGCCGTATGAGGCGAGACTGAGGGACCTGGGCCTCTTCAGCCTGGAGAAGGGGAGACTCAGGGGGGATCTGTTGGTGACATACAGGTACGTGAGGGGGTGTCCCACGGAGGTGGGCAGAGACTTGTTCTCCCCTGCAGAGGAAGGCAGGATGCACTCCAATGGAGCCAAACTCAAGGAACCAAGGACCCATTTGGATGCCAGGTAGTACTTCCTGATGGTGACGATCCCTAGGGCATGGAATGGGCTTCCCCGGGAGGTGGTTGAGGCCCCATTGGTGAGGGTGTTCAAGGATAGGCTGGACATACACATGGTGGGCATGTTGTGAACAGAGCCGGCTGGAGCTGGGGGTCAGACTAGATGGCCCGGGAGGCCCCTTCTGACGCCTTTGGTTTCTATGTTTCTAGTCTATGTTTTGGGTCTGGTGTTATGGGAAAGGAAGAAAGAGACCTCGCCCTCCTTCTCCACCCCATGTGTATTTCCATTCCCTCTATCATGTCCTCTCCTAATCGACTAGCAGGCCTGGCTGTTGTGCCCCTTCCTCACAGGGGACCTGCTCCAGGCCTTTGCACGTGCCAGCCTTCAAAGGCCTGAGTGAAGACTGGCAGGGCCGGTCTTTGTTTTTACCCAGCCAAGCACTGTGCATTTCACCCCGATCCCATTTTTCAGCTGCCCAATGAGAAAGGGGAACGAAACAAGCTGGGCACCAAGAGGAGCAGACCCTTCGAGGTGGCCCAAGCCTTTCCTCTCTCTCCGAGGTGCAGCTGGTGCCACCCTGGCCAAGTCTTCTGGATGGGGGCAAAACTCTCCCAAGCCTCGTGCCACCTTCCAGGACTTTGGGTGCTGAATTCCCAAAGAACCCTCCAGTTCCCAGAAAAATTCCCAGAATGGTGCCTTTTCCTGCATTTTTCCAACTCTCTAGTATCTTTTCATGAAGGTGCAGTGACCAACACCCTACGGAGTATTCCAGGTGTTGTTGCACCAAAGATTTGTGTAAAGGAAATGGGATCTTGGCAGTTTTGCTGCTCTTTGTGATGCTCAGCAGGGATTTTGCCCTTCTCGTCACCACTGCATGTTGCGTCAACATTTTCACTCCAACTCCTGCAGGGCCTTTTATTTTTTCATGGATTGACTTGTGGGAAAGCTAAATCTTGACGATTTGGACAACTTAGTTAGAAATGGAGGCTTTGATGGCTGGGAGACGGATTTCTCATAATGTGCTCTTGGACCAACCTCTGGTGTTAGAACCTGGACAAGCCCTAATACATGAAAGCCACTTCTTTATCTCACCCCCTAACATCCAGAAATGTTCCTCGTTGGGATCCCTGTTTGTCTGGTTATAGGAAGGATGTTTGGATTATAGGTCTGTAGATCTGGAAACATCCAAGGCCCATCGAGCCAGGACTAAAACAATGGCACAGGAAGGTGTATGCAGAATTGCACAGGGTGCTGGTCACAGGTAGTGGAATTAGTTTTCAGCAGTAGAATTGGTGCTCAAACAAGCTTCAAGGCCAGTTCAGCTGAGACATTTTGGAAGGCAAATAGAGGTTCTGCACTGCTGTTCCTAAACTGCTTTGGAAATTGTTGGCCATGTTTTGCGATGTAGCCGGAGTTTTCTGCACTTGCCTAGAGAGTACTGCATCTTGGAGTAGATCTATTTTCATATTCTACTGTGGCATTTAGTCTAGCATTGCAGAAGATCCAGCTCTGCTTTAGAGGTGACTGCAAAGCCTTTAACTGTGTGCATCATGAGAAACTATGGGTGATAGATAGATAGATAGATAGATAGATAGAACCTTTATTACAGTCAAAGACCAGCTCTATTCAATAAATACATAGATTTTAAAAAAGAAGACAATAGGGGTTATCTGTAAGAAATATGGGTGCCTTGTTTGTCTTGAAGTCCAGCTTTCCCATGATCCAAAGCGATGCTTCAGGTGACCGAGTTTGGCCAAGTTAATTGCGAACTTTTGACTTTTTCTTTTTATATATACGGGAACTGGAAGAACCATTTAATTCTCCTGCAGTTTGATTGCTACCCTGCTAAGAGATTTCTTTGAATAATCTGCTTTCAATAGAAGGCTGTCATTTGCTCATATGCTGTTGTTCTATTCTGGATGCATGTAGTCAGATTCAATGCCATGTTCTTTCTGAGAACCCTTGAAATGGTTTGGGTCATGTTAAAGTAAATTACAAATTGCAAGTAAATTATCTGGAAATAGGAGATGCATTCCGTCCAGAAGAACTACTTGCAAAACAAAGTTCCATGATTGGAATAGTCCAGGATACGACAGGGTGGACAGAATCTGAGTTCAAATCTTGCTCAGCTAAAGAGCTGACCATAGATTCTACATAAAGTGATAACGATATACTAGGAAAATATTTTTCTAGCTGCAGGAAGTTGCAAGTTATTCATAGATACCTACTGAATTCATGTGACTTCAGAAACTCTTCCTGTTTTTATGCTGCTGTAGCTTCTTCTTTAATTGGATGCTGTTTTGACGGCCTTTTTTCTTTTGGTCCAGTGAACTGAAAAGTGATTTATAGAGATTTTGAGTGGAGAAAATGGTAAGATACCCAGTTCTTACTGGGATTTTACACCAATCAGTTTCTCTCTAATAACCTCAGGATTGTGGGGCAGCACATCTAGCCCTCTTGGGGTCCCCATCCGGCCACTGGGGTTCCCCTTCTCCTGACCCCACCCTCTTTTCCCTGATTTGCACTCCTCCCTGGCTACCAATTTTTAGGTGGTTTCTGAGTTTTCATGCCGTCTTCCCACCCTGTTCTAAAATGATGAAAATGGGTCCCCTAAGACTCAGTTCCTTGCACCTTAAGCTAAAAATCCCATTTCTCTTCCTTAAAATGCCTCTTTCTGCCTCCACTTCTGCCTAGCACTGCTTGCTGTGCCTTTCTTCTTCTTGTGTTTTATGATTGTCTTTTCTGCTATCAACAGACTTTTTTTGAGACAAAAGTAGCTCTTGACCAGTTGGAATGAGCAAAGCCACTGAAGACTGGGGAGGGCAAGTGGGACCAGCCATGGAGGGGTGGGATTTGTGGGGGGCTCCCGTTTAGGGCATCAGGTAGCCAGGCATCCCCTTTTCAGAATACTCCATTCCACCATCTTGCAGCCTATTCCATGCCTGGTTCCTGGTTCTCTTTGCAGTTGAGCAGCCAATTAACTTAATTACACAGGCTAAAAGCAGCAAACATTGCTCAGGAACTGGAAGTTTTCTCTTACAGCCAGAAGAGGCGAACGTTCCAGGCAGCCTTTGCATAATGCAGGATTTTGTAAGTTTTGCTTGGTAAGGTGCAAGTAACAGTACATATCCTGTCTCTGCAGAATTTTTGAAGCAGCTTCCCCAATCTGCTGCACCCAGATGTGTTTGGATTGCAGACCCAGCATC